CCCCCCCCCCCGCGCCCGTCGAGTCAGGAGAGGACGTTGAAGCGTTTCAGAAGTGTGCACGCTTTGAGGATGACTTGGGGGCATGCTGTATTCCATTTCTAAATGAGCAGGATGTTGTTGCCAAAGCAAAACCACTCGAACAGGATGTTGACAGTCATTTTGCCTTGCAGACCCTCTGAAGAGTTGACTTTTTAGTGATGGATCCGTTGTAACAGAACTGCAGCCAGAAGGCTGAGGCAGGGGGTCCTGAGTTCCAGGCCTGCCAGAGCTACGTAGGGAGACCCTTTGGAAAACACAAAACCTGAATTGGACACTGAAAAGTGTGGGTTTTCATATGTAAAATGATACCATCCTCATTTTTCCTTTCAGAGGTGATGCTGAGGATATTTTAAAGATGAGTTTTAAACAGTGACAGTCTTGGGGAGTGCTAAGTGAATGTGCCTTAAGAATACAGCAGTATAAAAAGACACTTCTTGCAGTCAGAGCCGTTACCTATACAGTGTACATATGGGCTACTACCTGGAGAGGCTCATTTTATAGATTGGACCCTGGGGCGCTGTGATGGATATTTTGGTGAAATTCCAGTCATTTGGAAATGAGTTTTTCTTTGTCTCAAGCCAAAAATAGTTTGCAAAGTCAGGTTCTGAAAAAGCTACAGAGAAACTTTCTGGGACTCTAAATAACCTTGGTCTCTATCCTATTTCTTCTTTGTACTTCTTTGTCTTGCTTGAGATCTTACCAATACTTGGATCTGGAACTCAGGTCCACTGGGAGGGAAGTGATTGCTGCTTTCCCCCCCTCTTTCACTGTATGAACACCTCTGCAGAGTGATGCTGGGCTTGAAGACTCAGAAGTTTGTGCTGATGTGGGCTCTAGCAATGAGAGTTTTGTTCCTCTTCTGTTTATAAGTGTTCAGTGAGAGTCTCGCTAAGAAGGAAATGCTGTTAGCTGGGCCTTGTGGTGTAGCTAACAATAGTCCCAGCCTGAGGCAGGAGGATCATAAGTTCAAAGCCAGCCTGGACCTTGTCTCGCTGAGGATATAGCTCAGTGGTAGAGTGCTTGCTTACTGTGTGAGAAGACTTGGGTTTCATCTTCAGTATTACACACATTTAAAAAAAGGTTATTGACTATCTTTTCTATGTGATGCATATTTAGGCCAAATTTAAAAGATGATTAAACCACAGTGAGAAGGTTCTGTAGGCCAGCCACTAGAAAACTGGTTTTGTGTTTAGCTCTGTGATAACAGTCAGCAACCCCCTGAAATCTTGATCATACCCAAGAGAGAATGGCAAAGATGACTGTTCTCAGCAAAGTGGCAGCAGCAGGGGCACAGGGGAGGCTTGCTTGTAGGAAAACTAGTAGATTCCCGGTGTCCACAGGGGTTTGCCTCACCCCATCTTCAACTGCTCCAGCACCTTATATACAGCCGGTAGTGTTTGCTTCTAACCTATACACTAACTTCTCTCAGTTGGAGTTGTCAGTACATTACTTCCAATACCTATTACAATGTCCCTGCTATTCCAGTAGCTGCTACACTGTATCCTTCAGGGAGTAGTCACCAAAAGAGGTTTGTATATGTTCACTAAGGTTGAACTTCCCTCCCTTTGCAGATTTCCATCTGTAGTTGAATTTGCAATAGAACATCAGATAAGGGAAAGTAGCTAATTGATGATGTATGGAATTTTGATAAAAATGTGAGTGAAACATACTATGGCTTCTGCAAGCTGTATGAGGCTTTCCAAGTTTCTGAACTGTTTTAGTTACAAAGTTTGTCTCCCTTTTACTCATAGAAGTGGTTGTTAGAAATGTAACTGTGTCTTTGTTGTGTCTAGTTTGATAGAGGCTCTCGTCTTTAGAAAGTGGTTTCCTGCTCTTAGCTACAGAGCATGATGATTTTCCTGGAACAGACAGATTTTAGTGTATTTCTTCCTTTTGGACGAACGAAAGTCCTGGAAATGGAGGCAAGCTGTGTTGCTCTAAAGAAGCAGAGTAGCCATTTATTACAATTAGATTACTTTAACCAAACAGTGATTATACTATTCTGATGTTCTTTAGGAGTTGCTGTGGTCAGGTATTTGCTTTCTCTATTAGCTTACAATTTTCACTATTATATCTGTACTCACTTTCTGTTAGTGAAGAATGTTGGGATTGCTGTGTGTCTTTTTCCTTCTGCTATAGTGAGACCAGTTCATTCCCCTTTTTTGTATTTAGACTCTTGAGATTATTAATTATAGTAATCTTGTGTTTTAGGTTTTCTAGTTTGCACCTTTGTTGCCTTATTTGGTAAAATTTCTGTACATTGGTTTCATTTTTGTTCTAAATGTTGAGTTGTAATTTTTAAATGAAAATATCATTAATTCTGCAGTAATTTCTTGCTTGGTTAAACCCTTCTAACAACCTTCTGATTCTTTATTTTTAAGCCGGACATGGTGGTACACACCTTTAATCCCAGCATTTAGGAGGCAGAGGCAGGTGACTCTCTGTGTTTGAGGCCAGTCTGATCTACAGAGTGAGATTTTAGGATAGCTAGGGCTTACACAGAGAAACCCTGTCTAAAAAAACAGAAACAAAAAAAATAAATAAATAACATTGCAAAAACTTACTTATTATTTTTTCTTTAGTGTGTGTATGCTCACACGAGCACATGCCAAAGTATATGTATATGTACCATGCCTGGGCCCATGAAGGTCAGAAAAGGATTATCTAGAATTGGATTTATCACAAGGCTTTGAGCTGCCAGATGTGGGTATCAGGAACCAAATGCAGCTTTTCTGAAAAAACATGACATGCTCTTAAATAAGTAGCTGCCTCTCTAGCCTCTATTGATACATTTAATGTATTTTTCAATTATTAAGGAGTTGAGACTTAGCCGGGCAGTAGTGGCCCATGCCTTTAATCTCAGCACTCGGGGAGGCAGAGCCAGGCGGATTTCTGTGAGTTCAAAGCCAGCCTGGGTTACAGAGCAAGATCCAGGACAGGAACCAAATCTACACAGAGAAACCCTGTCTTGGAAAAACCAAAAATAAAAAAAAAAGAAGTTGAGACTTCAAAAAAAAGTTAGGTATATTAATAACCATATGAAAAAAGAACCTTCAATTAGAAGACTATGCAATAATAGAAGTCCTGTTTTTTTTTAATTTGTTTTTGTTTTTGTTTTGGTGTGTGTATGAGTGTGTGTGTGTGTGTGTGTGTGTGTGTGTGTGTGTGTGTGAAGTTTGCTTGGTAACTTCAGCCAGAGATGAATCTCATAGACCTCATTTCCACTTGGGAGTCTCCTCTAAGTTTTGGAAATAAATACATCCTAAGACTAGGGGCACAAACATAGTTATCAACAAGTTTCAAGTGAAGAAAATGGAATAAAATAATTATACATAAAATTCAATATCAAAGACTTGAAATTCTTTCTTTTCTCATTTAAAATACTTTCCCAGTAGTCTCCTGTCAGTGGAGACAAGATTTTTGCTGAAGTTAGTTAGGCCTTTGAAAGGAAACTGAGTAATTTCTGATTACCTGACCAAAGTGAATGTTTAACCTTTGGCAGGTTTCACCTCAGTAATGGGGTTGGGGTTGGGGTTGGGGGACAGGAGGGCAGATGGATAGAGCCAGAAGAAATGTTTTAATAGTCTTTAAGGAGGCCTAAAGGTTGTCTAGAGAATGCAAGTGATTGGATGGCTACAATAATGCTTTCCTACACCTTTTTTTTTTAATCAGCAAGTAAAATTTGCACATACCTAGTACTCAGTAATACTTGGTGTTCTAGGGTTATCATTGTCTGTGATTCTGAGTTTCACTTCCTTTTTGACGTACTGGGGTTGAGCCCAGTGCCTCCCAGGCAAGTGGTATACATCTCTAGGCCTTTAAACAGACAAACAAACTTTTTTTTTTTTTATTTTGCGGTAAGGTCTTCATAGGTTGACTAGTGTTGTCCTTGAAGTTTTTGTTTGTTTGTTTTTCAAAACAGGCTTTCTCTGTATAGCCTTGCTGTCTTTGGTCTCTCGGTAGAATAGGCAGGTTTTAAATCAGAGGTCTGCTTGCCTC